GTAAAGATTTACAGCCTCGGAAACCCTGTACCGGGTCGCTATGGGTCAGAACCGACTCGACGGCACTTAACAACAACAACAAAGAGTATATTGTGTTTCAGATACTATCCTAATCCTTTTACATACATTTTACACAACTGTCAAATCAGTAGTTAGTCCCATTTTTTACTTTAGAAAACAGAGTGGTGAAACTTGCCTTACAAGGTCATGCACTTACTCCAAGTAGACAGGTGGGTCTGACTCCAAACCAGTGTTTTTAATCTCATACAATTGATTCTCAAATTTGCCTGCACCTCACAAAGTACTTGAAAGTTGTTTGCTTTTTTAAAAAAGGGGAAGAAGTAAGTACCTGTTCTCCTCCCCAGACTAATTAAATCAGAAGGTCCTAGGGCACAGGTATTTTTAAAACATCTGATGAGTCTAAAGTGAAGGCAGAGCTAAGAACCACTGCTTTATAATATGTTGCTTATGTTAGAATTAATTTCACATTATTTAGTAAAGTAATTTGATAGTATGGGGTGAAATACATCTAGATACTTAAGACTACAAATAGAATTATAGCACAGATTTTATATAACTACTATAAAAGAATTTTAAAAATGTGGTTTTACTTGATGTTGGAATTATTGGCCACAAAACTTAATATGCCAGAAATAATGACAATCTTTTAAAAGGAGATTTTGAAAATACAGTTTTACATTAATGAACATTGTTACTATGTGAAATTCCAAACCTTTATAATCACTTTTATAAGTTTTTTCAAATTTTAATCTATTATCTTGTGTTTAAAAATAAAACATGAACGGTTGTTTTTTTTTTTTTTTTTTGTGGTAAATATATCTTGGTGTGACACTATGGATTAATGCAGTGGACTTGCAAGGTCGATTTGCACTGCAGGGTCAGTGCGGTTCAGTTCACGCTCACCACCCACTCCTCGGAAACTGTATACAGGGTCACTGTGAATGAGTACCGACTCCTCAGCACTTAGCCTCAACAACATAATTGTGATATATGTACATAAGTGTGAAATATAAAAACAATATAGCCAATATAACGTTGCTATATTATACTCTGGTTTTCAGAGTTGAGTAAGGATAAGTTGTAGGATAAGCACTGGAGTCCTGGTGTGGTGCTGTGGGCTAATGCATCAGACTGCAAAGTCATTTGAACTGCAAGGTCAGTGGTTCAAGCTGACCAGGTGCTCCTTAGAACCCCTATACAGGATCGCTATGGGTCAGAATCGACTCAGTGGCACTTAACAGCAACAGCGATCCACAGATCTGCGGTTCAAACCCACCAGAGGCTCCTGGGAAACTCTACACAGGGTCACTATGAGTCAGAACTATCTCAATGGCACTAATAGCAGCATGCTGACTGTAGGGCACACCACTGCAAGATTGTGAATACAGAAAGATATGTAAACACTCATATTTGTTGCTTTTAATTCCATTAATTGACTTTAGCTAAAATGTTATAAGGAAACCCAGTGGTATTGTAGATTATGCACTGGACAACAGTTGAGAGTCGGGCTACTATAACCTCAAGGTCAGCATTTCGAAACTACCAGCTGTTCCGCGGGAGAAAGATGAGGCTTTCTGCTCCCATAAAGATTTACAGCCTCAAAAGTCCTATGCAGGGTCACTATGAGTCAGAACTGACTCCACAGCACAGAGCCACCACCACCACATAACTACAAGGTCAGTAGGTCAAACTAACTAGCTGCTCCCTATACAGAGTTGCTATAAGTCAGAAGTGACTAGACAGCACTTAAAACAACAAAACAGGGGGAAAAAGGTGTTCATTACAAAGGAAACCTGGTGATACAGTGATTAAACGTTTGTCTGCTAACAAAACGGGTCAGTGGTGTGAACTCAGCAGCCACCCTGTGGGAGAAAAGATGTGCAGTCTGCTTCTGTTCAGCATTAGTCTTGCAGAACCATTGGGACTGTTCTCCTCTGCCCCCTTATATAGGTTCACTGTGAGTCAGAATTGACTCCAGCCAGGACAAAGGGTTTGATTTTATTGGTTATAAGAACATAAAGTAATATTTAACTTAATTTTCAACTGTGTTTCTGCTTATTCTCCTACATTATTTCCCTGTGGGATAACATAATGAGAAACTTATGCTTGTGAATAAAAGACACTGAATTAAGATTACTTTACTACTTTATGTCTTTACATTCCTGAGCAGGCATGCTCCCCTCACATTTGTAATGTTCTCCTACAGAAATGTGGTTTGTAGAAGTCAATACAGATTTTTAATTGAGTAAATGAATTTTTAGATATCTGTAAGTCTGGAGTGGCTTGGGATAGCTGTTGTCATAATAGATTTTTAAAGCATACTATTTTGTTAAGCAGAAAAAATAATTTGGAGGTAGAATTTTATCTTTGTTTGATAGAACCATTTTTAAAAGCAGAATTTTAGGGTTTGAAGAAGTGACCATTCCTTTAGTTATACACAGAAGCCCAGACAGGCAGTTGGACTCAGAGTTCTATAGTTACATCACTAGTGACAGAGTTAAAACCACTGAAGAGGTGTTTGCATTCCAGGTTCTTAAAACTCCAGGTTTAACAAAACAACATTTGTAGTCTCAAAACAATTTTTCTTTCAAACTTTCCAAACTACTGAACAAGTTGTTGTTGTTGCTGTGTGCCATGGAGTTGGTTCTGACTCACAACAACCTATAGCGTTTCAGAGATCTGCTGGTGTGTTTTAACTACTGCTCATGCAGTTACCAGTCCAGTGCATATCCTACAGCACCACACCAGTGCCCAAATGATTTTTATTGAAAAGACAAAGGAGATATTCAAAGCTACTATATATATATATATCCTGTCTTTCTAGAATAACTATTTGTTTAAAGTTATCTACTCTTTCCCTAGAAGAATAGAAATAGAACTTTAATTGGGTAAAACTCTGTAAAAATAATTGTATAGCTTCTGAAATTAGAAATATTTTAAGTAGAGAAAGGATTTAATTCATTCTAGATTGTTAATGGGAAGATAATTAGCATACAAATTAGCCAATTGGTGTCTAGTTTCAACTCTGAGACAGTTCTTGAACCCCTCAGTAAAGCTATAAAGCAGTGCATATGTCTGATGGTATAGTACGGTATAGAGCATTGAATGTAGAATATTGAAGATCCTTGACTACTGGCATGGTCACACTGGCAGCAAGCCCATAGTTCTAGGTCGATTCTGCCCACTGTGTGGGCTGTGTGGTCACCCGTAGTCATCTTGGAGACATCACACGTCATATCAGCTGACTGGTTGGTGTTCTTCATCTCATGTTTTTCCTTTGCATGGCTTGGTGTTATGGTTAGATAGTAAAGTAAGGTGAAACTGTACTTGCAGTATTACACACAGTTAAGTCCTTTTTCTCACTAGTGTTTGAATTTAAACTAGTCTTTGTGGTCTCGCCTTCCTCAAATATAGAACAGAAAACTGAGACCTCTAGGCAATCTAGTGTTCTGCATAAGCTTGAGAAAGAAAATGATACTGCTTCTGCTCCCTTCCATTTATTCAGTCAAGATAGAGACTAAATGCTGAATCTAAGAAAACCCTGTTACATGAATAAATTGCAGCTTAATTCTAAGATACTTTACTCCTTCTGAGAGTCTATTCTGTGCATAATCGATTTTCTTGCTTTTCCAGCCAGAAGGAAGCCATATTCTAATATCAGTACAGATTTGCATTCTTAAGACTAACATAAATGTGCTTTGAATCTTAAGATACATGATTAATGTGCATCAAGGGTTAACTCTCTATATAACTCTATATTATATATTTTACACATTATATAACTATATATATATATATATATATATACACACACACATACATATATAACAAGTATTTCTGATTGTAAGACTATTTTCTTTAGACAAATATGTTTAAATAGGACTGGTGTGGTGCTGTAGAATAAGCACTAGTATGCTAACTGCAAGGTCGGTGGTTCAAACACACAAGCCACTCCTCAGAAGCCCTATACAGGGTTGCTTTGTTGTTGTTAAGTACCGTTGAGTCGATTGCAACCCTGTATAGGGTTTCCAAGGAGCAGCTGGTGAGCTTGAACTGCAAACCTTGCAGTTCAAAAGGCATTGCAGTCTAGCACATTAACCCACAGCGCCACACCAGGATTCCTATGAGTTGGAACTAATTCAGCAGCACTTAACACCAGCATTGTATTTCGTATTTATGCAAATATACTACTGATTATGCAACTTGGCATCTTACAAAGATGATGACACATTTTGGTGAGTGTGAATTTCTAGAATCCTTTGCGAGGTAGAAAAGAATGCCATTGAATATAGGTTTTGCAACTTTCCATGCTTCTTGGTTAAAAATATGAGGAGAACATACTAGGTAGAGATGCTTTTGGATTTCTCGTGTCTTTCGATAGCAAAAATACAAACTGCTGAAAATGTAGGCTCTTTGACATAGGTATTTTAAAAGGCAGAATTCTGAAAAGATTTGCCTTTTTTGTGGTGGGGAAATAAAAAAAGACATGTGTTATTAGCCTGTTTTTTCCTTGTACTCATGGTGTTTAAAGTAATATTTCTATCAATAACTTCTATAATGATTATTCCACATGCTAAAATTGTCACTTTAGTTGGACAGTGAGAAAAGAGAGACCCCTGTATTATCATCTCTTGTAATTCTTGTGCATGAGTTATACATATTACCTCATTCATTTACATTTTTAAAATACATAATAAATAACGTGTTTGTATTCAAGATTACAGCACGGCTTTATTCAAAATGCCGTTTGGGGACCAAAATATCTTCCTATTATGTGTTATGGTGGATTACTCATACATTAAAAGTATTTTTTAAAGAAAAGTTCTACACATGGGTATAAGAAATAACTTTGAAATAAAGGAAGCTCTGTGTTAGAAGCAAAGGGGCAAGAGTGGAAAAACTGCAAAAGTGTGCCTGTTTGGAAATCAATTTAAAAGAACTTTCAATCACTAGTTAATAAAACTGCTTTAAATTTACAGACAGTGGGAGTAGCTCACCATTGCCCAAGTATGCTTCATCTCCCAAACCAAACAACAGCTACATGTTCAAACGGGAGCCCCCAGAGGGATGTGAGCGAGTGAAGGTCTTTGAGGAAATGGCGTAAGTAATGTCTTTTCTGTCAGCGGGGATCTGTGAAACTGTTAAGCTTTTTTTTGAGACCAGTTGATTACAGATGAATCAACTACTCCATCCAAATTATTCAAAGAGAATTGAACAGGCAAAAGAGATCTTATTGAAAATAAATTGGCATCTGTTGGAAATGTATAAATCAACACAAAGAAACTTCTAAATTCAGCCTTTGCTACCTAAAAGATCTATTTTTAATCATTAAGAGTTTTCCCTGAAAAGAGCTCTAAAAATGTTAGATGGCTAACAAAAAGGCAGTTAGGAGCATAGTTACTATCTATGTGTGGCTAACCTAACAAGTAATTCTACAAGCCAGAGGGAAATCGGTCTCCTTCCCTTTGAAAACATATCCAGCATGTGTTTTCGACTTGGAACTCAGACTTTATGTTCACAGATTTTTTTTTTTTTTTCCTTTTGGGGGATTTGAGTATGTATAAATCAAACAATAAAAAAGAGGCTCATGCTATAAATACTTGGCAAGATAGTGGCTGTTGGCTCATTTGTTCCTTTGTCCTAGTGCAGTTGCCTAGTCAAGCACCTAGAAGGGGACAGAGGGAACAGCAGTCGGTGGTTTCATTCCTGGGAAGAGGAAGAGAAAGGAAGGGCTTGTGGACCCTGTTCTATAGGGCTCACTGACTTGTCACAAGAATATCAGGGAGTAAGGTTTCTTTCCGCCTATGTTAACATATGTATGTTGTTGTTGTTGTTAGGTGCCTTAGAGTCAGTTCCAACTCATACCGACCCTGTATAGGGTTTCCAAGGAGCAGCTGGTGGGTTTGAACTGTTGACCTTGGGGTTCACAGTCCAGTGCTGATCCTATAGATATACAGAAAGGGGGGAAATGCTTGTAACTAACTGGAGGGTGGGGTCATTCACTCCCAACTATACTTTTTCTTAACAGAAAAGGTAATTCTAACCTTGCATTATGTTCAACTATATATATTTTTTTTTCCATGATCTTAGTACATGGTGAAAAGCAAGCTAATGAACTCTATGAAAATGTCTCATCTATCTGTCCTTTTGAAAAGCCTTTTTGCTTCAGATATCACTTCAGTGCTGTGTATGTGATGGTCTGCCAACTGACTTGTGCTATAGAAGATGTCTAATTCCTCTGTGAACACTTAACCCTTCCATTCACATTGTGCTTGTTTTAGAAAATTATAATTAATTCAGAGAGCACATTGTAGTCATTGTAAACCTAATTTTGTTTTACTGTTTTAGGTCTCGTCAGCCTATCTCAGCCCCTCTCTTTTCCTGCCCTGACAAAAACAAGGTTAATTTCATCCCAACGGGATCCGCTTTCTGTCCTGTGAAACTCCTAGGTCCTCTCTTACCTGCCTCCGACTTGATGCTCAAGAACTCTCCTAACTCTGGCCAGAGTTCAGCTCTGAGCACTCTGACCGTGGAGCAACTCTCCTCCCGAGTTTCCTTTGCATCTCTCTCTGATGACACCAGCACTGTGGGCTCTGCAGAGGTTTCAGTCCCACAGCCATCTCCTCAGCAGCAGCTTCTGCAAGAACTGCAGGGTGAGGAGCACATCTCTGCTCACAACTATGTGATCATCTAATGTGAGGGGGAGCCGGCCTCTACCCTCTCTTTCATGGATTAGGAACTAGACCTCATACATCTATCTGCATGGAGTGACAAACATTTCCGAACACCATCACCAACAGAATACTTATTATCAGCATCATAAAGTATCTCTTAACATTGATCTTGGCAGGGACGGAACTCCTATTAGCAGTTTTTGTGGAAAGCAGTAATGCTTGCAAAATGTGTGCGTCATTCAGCATTTAAGTGGAGACTATGCATTTCATAGTGTGTTTGACTGATTAGTACTGTGTCCTGTGTTTTGTTCCAAATTCTTCAGTATAAATAAGCTCTATATCAAAAAGTTGCCTGTCTAAATAGAATGTCAACAAAACAATGTCTTGCTGTGTTTTGTCCTATGGAAAATACTGTACTTCAGGATTATGTTTACAATTGATCCAGGTGTTTGTTTCTAACTTCTGTAATACATACAATGCAAAAAAAAAAAAAAAAAAAAAGTATATATATATAATATATATATATGCACAGTGCCCACCCTATGGCCTAGCTTCAGGTACTTCAGTTGAAGTCTAAACTCAGGTAACTTGGAATGTATATTATATTGGGATATTAAATATTTCACAGCTAAAAAGCTAAAGAGGGAACATCACTCTTTTGCCTTTCCTTATTTTATGCATTTCCCTTTCCTCATTACATTCCACATTCTTGGAATAAAAAGTGCATTCAACCCTAGGAGAAAAATAATCCTGGACATGGCGAACATGAGGAGAACCAGCAAATCTGTGATGTTTGACATCACTTCTGTCACGTGGTTACAAGTCAAACAACTGTTGCATTTACTGTTTCACCATGTGTAGTGTAAATGTGGCTTTTTCTTTATTTTTCCAAGTTCAGATGTTGCTCAGCTAATGACTGTTACAATGTTGCAAATGAAGTATTCAGTACTAGGCTGCACACATAACATTCCACATTGTGTGTGATGAAATTTCAAGACTAGAGCGTCTAGGTGTAATTTCAAAACAGTTGAAGCTTCAGAGGGAATGACTGATTGAGATTTTTATGTTGCCCATTAAGGTCATAAAAAGCTACTGTTTTATCTACAGGCATATTAATGTGTAGTTTTCCTTTTGGAAAGTCTTTAATTTGCAGGTTAAAAAGTGACACTTTCGGGTTTTGTTTTTCCTCAAGCAGTTTAGGTGTACAAGCTGCATTTTCATGTAGAGAGAATATGTGGGTCTCAGAATGTAATTCATCATAAGGAAGCAGGTTATTTGGTGACTTACAAAAGCAATTGTTTGAAGCTGTCCGATTTAAGCCTATCACAGTACTAGCACAAGTACTTCTGTGAAGATTTTGAATGTTTGAATACAACATAAACTCCAACAGCCTTCAGTTTGCAGAGTTGACGTAAGTTCTCAACAAAGCATGAAGAGAGCCCTAGATATTCTTGTTTGGTCACTGGGAAAACCCAATTTTCAGATCTTGTTTTCTGTAACACAAAGAAGGTACCCCAAAGCAAAAAAAAAAAAAAAGCTTTTGTATCTTTATTCCATTGCTTTCAGTTCAATAAAGCCTAGAGTGGTTTAATCTGCACCTAAAGTGTATGGCACAATTTTCGTAAAAATTAAGAAAACAAGGTGCCTACAGTTACAGGAGCGTTTCAGTTCCCTTTAATCATTCCTTGGTTTTTGTTTTTATTTTCTTTTTTAAATTTTTCTAATGTGGCTAAGGATGAGGTGAGAAGAAAGCAACACAACTGACGTCTGTAAGGAAATAAATATATAGGTGTGTGTGTGTGTGTGTGTGTGTGTGTGTGTTTTGTTGTGCATTATTTTGTCATGGTCCCAATTCTCTTCTTTCCACCAAAGTTTGCAGTACTGTCCTCTCCTGGAGGTGCATTTTGGCCCCTTTACGTTCGTCAGTGTTACGTTGTAGGAGACTGTCATGGAAAAAGGACTCGGTGTACCTTTGCCATTTTCACAGGGGAACCTTTTAAAACAATCTTTTCAGCAGCAGACACCTTTAACCCTAATAATCTCAGGCCTTGATGAAAATACTATATTTTGTAGATTATGGTTAAAGGGATAAAAATAGTTCTGTAAGATAAATATGAGCTCCATTTAACTTCTGATCTCTGGTTTAGCATTAAATAATGTGTTGATCTTATGCTCTGCTTTTGTCTAAATAAAATGCAATAGAATCAATATCAATTTCAGAGAGATGGACTGGATATACTTTTTTTGGTGATGAAATCTGATGTACGATATTTATAGTGACATGTGCTTTTATTTTCTCATGAGAAACGAAATATTGTGTTGTACATTTGTTCTTAGCATATACTATAAAGTTTTGAACCAAATGTGTTAAAGCTTATGCTTTGCCATGTAAATTACCCAGAAGTTTTTGAGCTCAAATGTATCCTACATACAGCTGTAGAAATTTGTCAAAAATTGTTTAAATTTTGTATATAGTTGTATTGTTTGATTCTAGCCACTGTGCAGAACAGTATTCGAGTTACCATACAATATGGCTTTACACAAGGAGATATGTGGCTTTTGTTTTGTATTTTTTTCAGTATAGAAGTTCCTGTGTCTTATTTAAATAAAGTTATTAGTAAAACTAGAATCGTTCATACAAGTTTTTTTTTTAAAAGACCGGGTGGTTAGCGTAATACCAGACAGATGAATTCAACTCTGGGCAGTGTTTCAGTGCTCATCGTTTCCTGGCCTGCATGTCAGGGGCTGTAGGGGTATCTAACTGGATTCAGTTTCTATAACCGGTTTTTCCTTGATATTTAATTTACACAGTTTGTATCACAAGGCAGAAAACTAGATTTCTAAAGTTCCAAGCCTTTGTACTGAGCAGAGCTATAAGTTCCTTAAATAGCTCAGAGCACATTGTCCCCATTTCATGATTTCATATTTAAGAATTGCTTATAAAAGTTCTTTAAGTTCAGGGAAATAACCTTGAAGGAAGTTGCATAAGACAGATCTTCAAAAAGTTCATGGACAAATGGAGTTAAAAGAACAGAATTTTTCTACAAAGTTATAAAAGCTCACTTGTATTCCTTACAGAGAAAATTGTAAGAGGTAGCATATGATCAAGAGCCAGTGGTACTGAAGGAAGAAGTCCAAGATGCACTGAAGGCACTGGCAAAGAACAAGGCTCTGGGAATTGATGGAATCCAAATTGAAGTCTTTTAACAAACTGATGAGGAACTGGAGACACTCGTGTATACCAAGAAGTTTGGAAGACAGATACCTGGTCAACTGATTGGAAGAGATCCCGTATTTATTCCCATTCTATAGATAGATGACACAATGAAATGGAGAAATCATTGGAGACAGTACCAATATCACACACAAGTAACATGTTGCTGAAAATAATTCTTAAATGGCTACAACAGTACATTGACAGGGAATTGCCAGGGGTTTATGTTGGATTCAGATGAGGATGTGGAACAAGGGATATCATTGCTGATGTTAGATGGATCTTGGCTGAAAGAGAATATAAGAAAGATGTTTACCTGTGCTTTATTGATTATGAAAAGGCTTTTGACTGTGTGTCATGGCAATCTATGGACAGCATCGCAGAGAATGAGTATTCTAGAATACTTCATTGTGCTCATGAGGAACCTATACATAGACTAAAAGACAGTCATTCGAACAGAACAAGAGGACTGAATGGTTTTTAAAGTTTGGAAAGCTGTGTGCCAGAGTTGTATTCTTTCACACTCAACCTGAAAAAGATCTCGTAAACTTTTCTTGAGTTCAATACCCCTTTCTGGCTTTTGCCCAGCACTGCTGCTTGGTCCTAGGTTGCCTCTCTATCTTTGCCACACATTCCCCTAATCAGAGAAACGAGTATATGAAGAAGAACAAGGCATGATATGCAGAGGATACAACCTTGCTTGCTGAAAGCAAAGACTTGTTCACTGTACAGCGGAGCAAAGGCAAAAACAAACCACTTTGAGAATTTCAAAAACAGCAAAGTGTTTTTCACTCCCAAAATACAGCCAAAAAGATTGATAATAGTTGACCTTTAAATTAATCTTGAACTATCTGTTTAGTAGTTTTGGCACACAGATTATATGTAACTTTAATAGGGAAACTAGCAACTACCTATGTGAACATCATAATATCATTTTGGCTGGAAATTTCTATCTTAAGACAATTTTTAAATGCCTTTACAAGTGAATGTGAAGGCAAACTGGAATTCCCAGCCTCATCTCTGCTTGAGTCAATTATATAATAAACTTGTTATAAACAGCCCTCAGAACCAAATTAGTACTTGCAAAAACAAACAAAAAATGGGGGGATGGGTAATAAATCTAAGAATTTATTTCTAGCTAACATAAGGTTGAATTCCTGGTGTGGCGCTGTGGGTTAATGCACTGGACTGCAAAGTTGGTTTGAACTGGATCAATGGTTCAACCTCACTAGCCATTCCTTGGAAATCCTATACAGGGTCACTATGGGTCAGAACCGACTTGACAGCACTTTATAACTACAACAACATAAGGTTAACCATATATAATCACTTGGAAGTTTATTTATGAAACACATACTTGAGTCAGAAATGTATTTAATCAAGTTGTTTTGATAGATTATGTTTTAAGTGATTGACTTTTGAGGACAAATTAAGGACAAATTAAGCTTTGCCTTTTTGTTTTGGAAACCTACTGGGCAAAAGAGGCTCCATATAAGAGAGGTTCCATTAAGAAAAATCTAATTGATAAAGTCTTGATAATTGAATTTAAACAATGACTTTGGTGAGTATTAACAGTCATCTGAAGACAATCTATTGTCTATTACACAATAGATTCTGTGAACTTTATTCTTGCAGTAGCTGTTGGTGGTACATGCTACCGTAGTCTCATCTGCTGTATGCCCTGGATCACCATGACACAACATGAGCTAAATTCAGCTACTAAAATAATCATTTGTCCTGTAACTTGGTTTAGTGACCTTGGATACTCCTTTGTGCCCTAAGGAAAATACTATTAACTGCCTCATA